AAAAAAAACTCTACGAACTTATGTTACAACCCAATAGATGTTCGAATGGCAGAATTTCTGGAGCATCGCTCCTAGGATTCGAACGCTCATACTTTAACTTCCACATAACATGCCAACTATAACACATGCTGAACGAAGAGCTGAATTTCTTATGCCATTTCTCCTTTCGAAAGTCTAGAGGCATATGGACAGGATCAGTAGACATTAAGGCAACGACATCAAACCATAGCACCGCATCAGACAAACCATGAGGCTCAAAAATGTGGCTTTGTCAACTGATGGGGCAATGTCTTCCTTTCAGCTGGAATAGCTCGAGTTTGGGTGACGGGGAATGAATCGATAAAGCCGAAACAAGAATCTGTCGCGGTTATGGGCGAGTTTGGAGTAAAACTCTCATCAGCCCTCCTTCCTGATCAGTCATGGGGGCCAAATGGCTGCCATCAATTTCCTATCGTCCACACAGTTAGTAGAAGGAACTATATCGTCCTTCAAAACTACGAGTTATTTGGAAGAGACCAACAAGCAGCTTTGTTCAGTATGAATCAACCTAACGGACCGTGACAAAAAATAAAAATTCCAAGGTCCAAGCCGTGTTGAACGACGCACAGCATTTTCACCTCGAGTACATTTTGTGTATTGCTGGAATGAACTTTTCCGGTGATTATGATAAGTGTTTAACTTGAATCACCTCTGCTGCGAGCCCATCTCGCACTACTTGATGAACCAAAAAATGCCTACATTGAAGCTAGGCAATGTCCTCCATCTCCATTTCGTTTCATGCTACCCTCTTCCAATCTGAACAAACACAAAGAGCAATGAAGACTCATAGGAAGCAACGAACGCTCTCATTATAATGGTTTTTCATTTTATTAGAGCAGAATCAAAACTACTATAAACGGCCTTTTCATCGACACATGAAGCGAAAGGGATCTTTGGTGCGGTGAAGGCAAAGACAGTTCTGTAGGTAAGCCGCATATGAATAAGATTGATGCCTAAGAAATATAACAACAATAAAGTCAAGGATATTTAATGTTGAGTTGTTACGTGAAGCCATAATTACTACAAAATTCTTTAAAGATCTGCCGAGCTGGAAGGAATCAACATCAAATACATAACGCACTGCGTTGTATATTGATACAGTCACCCATGAATTTTACCAAAACTAACGTTCCAGGGCACTTCAGAGAAAACACTTAATATGGAGATTGTGCCCTACTCGGCCCACAACTCGTGGACCATCAGCGAGTTCCATCTCAAGGACATGGATAATTTCCCCTTTATTTCTTCGAATAAGCTCACTTTGCTTATTTTGCAGAATGATACAGCCACCTCATACAAGTGCTTAATTCTTCTTTCTTTTTCTAATAAAACTCTTCTTTCTCTTGGCTTTTCTTTCTCCAGGTTGTTTTTCGATTAAGAAAGTCTAACTGTGATGCTTTAAATAGAAGCCGATCCTCTTGGCACGATCTGAGAAAGCTTAAGCTTTAGTTTTTCAGACGAAATTTCGAGGGAGGAGGAGTCATGGTATGGGTGGCAAAATTCTTCTCGTTAACGTCTTAATTTATGGTTCGTTCCGGAGAAGCTCAGCTCTTCCGGGTATCCAGTCTTCATGAGCCGTGCTTCTCTTATTTTTGACGTCAGAATCGGCAGCAGAACCTCGTATTCATGTAGGATTGTGCCCCGTTTCAAGCACCCAGGCCCGGTTTAGTCGGTACTGAATCGACCTTCCCCCTTGGCACGCTAACGACTCTGAACTGAATCCATTGGAAAACGTATGGTAATTCATCATAAGAAAGATTCATGGAAAAAAGAAGCACTTGTAGGTATCAGTGAGCTGAAGGAAGCACTCGTTGACGGTTGGGGCACCAGGCTGACCACGAACTTACTGATAGCTTTACTTTAGTTTAGACAATCGTATTTTTGAGGTAATTCGAAAGAATGGGGGCTCAATTGATCACAAATCACGCAACATCTCCTCTTTGTCTCATTTAGCTGCTGAATAAATTGGTTTGGTGGCTGTATAATTTTGCAACATAGGCAGAGCGACTTTTCCGAAAAAATGAAAGGAAAATTGACCATGTTATTGAGATGGAACTCGTCGTTGGTATGCAAGTTGCGGTCCGAGTAGGGCACAGTTTCCATATTGAGCCTTTTCCTGAAGTACCGTGGAACGTGAGGTTTGGTGGTTTGGAGAAAGTCGTGGGAGAATGTATCATGGGGACCGACCGATAGTCCAATGTAGTGAAATGAACTCTTTGACACCATCTCCGGAGCAATCCGCACTTCGAAATTCTGCCTCATTTGCGCAATTGGATCTGCTGAATGCAACATTCCTATGCAATTTTTTTGGAAAAAATCGGGCTACCTGTGTACACAGTGGTTGACTGTTGTTAGGCCGGCTGGGATGAAGCAGTCACGGTTTGCCTATGATCATCATTTTGAGGACGCTAAGAACACTTTTAATCATACCAAGCGGGTCCTAATTTTGTTTAAACAGAAAAGAAGGTCGTTTTTTTCAGCATTCAAGCCAATATATTTTAGTACAGAAGTAAAAGTATGGCATCAAACCTACGACAAAATGGGATTTCAGCTAACTTAGCATATTAAGCATGTACATATTTTTAATGGGTTGGGGAGAGAATTGAATAACTTGATTTCGAAGACGCTGGAAGCCTTCCTGACTTCGAAACTCCCTCCTAGGTACTTGCTGGAGGTGATTGAAAAGCCACAACTGTAACGAGCAAAAGTTGGGCTGAAAGTTAAGTTCCTAATTCTTTTTCAGAAATTATGTACACGTATGAATGGGAAAAACCACTCCTTCCACCGACACCACTTTGGTCATCTGGAAATAAAGCAAACACGGTGGGTTATTTAAGTGTACAATAGTTTGCCTTCAACAGAACGCGTTCTATTCCTTTTCAACTTCAGCTGCTTGTGAATCTGTCCCTACTTTTTGACCTATATTTTCTTTATTAGGATAAAGTTTGCCTGAAAGTGAAGTATTTTGAGATGGATTTTTTGGCTGTACTACATTTTTTTACTACAGATGGGAATCGCTGATTCGCCACATTCTGTCTCCACTTTACGCTCTTCACTCTCAATGGAACGAAGTCTGCAGCTGTTTTTTGGCTACATGATGATCTCCATTGCTTTTGGCATCACTTGCAATCAAGTTAACAGCCGCGATCACTGTATTCACAGGGGTCTCGGCAAAATGTCAGTGAGGTTTACGCTTCTTGAAATTCGGAAGAATAGTCGATCGTTTTCAGTTTCTGATAGCCTTTCAGTATCTAGAGGAGTACATTCACGAGCCCTCGTTCAAAATATTATCAATTTCGGCAAAACGGAAAGAAATAGTGTGTAGCATCTTACCTTCTATCCCTTTCCTCTTTTTGTTTGCCTTCTAAACGTAAACTTGAGGTTTTGCAAAGGGTGGGCTAGCGTCACCAATTTCTGACGAAACAGAGCCGAGACATGTTCCGATTGTTTTGTTAAGCTTCACAACTTCTTTTGACAGCTTCCCCATTTGTTTCACCACATTTTCGTTTTNNAGGACAGAAGGTCCAGCGATTATAGCATGAATGTAAGCGAATGCGTGCTATACCTAAATTCAAGATTATTGGTTCTCCAAAGCACGAACTGAGTTGAAACACTGTGTTAGAGTTTCATTGGTAGACAATTGCCCGGGGAGAGAAAAAGGTCTGAAGTAATGAAGGTCTTGAGGTATCCTCGAAAATAAGAGATGGTGGATCCGGGGAATATGTATAACAAAAAAATTCAGATAGCTTTCTGGTACAGCAGCTTTTTCTGGGAAATACTTTCTTTTTCAGGAATTGGTTAGATTCGGAGGCATCCTGCTCAGCACAACGTGGTCACCTCACATCTATTCACAGCACGAAAGACATTGTAGCGATCAAAGGTAGGTGCAGGAGAGAAACTGCGCAGCACAATCCCTGTAAAGCAGACTCCCTGGTACTGTTGGAGAGAGTAACCGGAGACAGTTTTACTTGTCGCTTTACTTCAGCCTTTTGTTTGCTGCTCACACTGGCATGCTACTCGTTACCCGCTCATCCTCAAAAGAAGGCCCAACAAAGGGTAGTTGTCATGAGAATCATTTATATCAAAGGGCGACTACGTAATTACTTGGCTTTTTTTCTGGATTGAGATGATTTAGGGCGGTTTGTGTGCCTAGTGCCGCACTATCGCACGTATGGCCAAATCTCTGATCAACACCCTTTTAGGCCAATCTTTGTTCTCCTATATGGGTTAGGTTTATGAGACTCGCCAGAGAGAGTAAAATCAACGATTTGTTTATTAGCTAATACATTTGCGCCAATACATTTACAAGCAATGGCTCGCACATACATAGGCTAACTCCGGCAAATCACAGCATAGGCCACGAACACGGCTTAAAATGCCTGAATGGATTCTGGATGGGAGTAATCGAATAGGCACTTGCTAGGTGCAGTATTGATCGGTTCCGAAAAATCAAAACCTTTAATCCTCTAAACTATGATAAGCTTGAAAAGTTAAAAGGAAAAGGTTTATTCACCATGGTTAGAGAGGGTTGAGGATCCTTGAAGATACGCTCTTCCGTAGCAAGCGCTACCGCTTTCTGATCCATCTCGAAACGATTACAGGTTTCACTATCTTGTACCTTCTTATTCAGAGCTTTAATACAAAAGCCAACCACTTGGGCACATTTTCTCAACTTCGAATGTCTTTTTGCTTAACTACTGAACAACCTCTACGGCGATAACAGTTCAACCCGCGTTACGTTTATACCTGCCAACATCAAAACCCTATTTCGTACAAGTGGGGAGCCAGTAGCTCCATCGTGCTCTGTAGCACGAGTATGAAATTCCTTGTGTAGCTAAATAAAGCAAGTGAGCGAACTGTAATAGAAAACGAGGTGAACACATTCTAATTGTATGGATTCAGCTGATTAGCAAATTGGTCAGATTTGGCATCCGAGACACTTGCGCAAAGACCCAAAAGCTTCCACGGTAAAAAAGGTAGAAAAGAACCAGATATTTTGTTAAGCACTTGGAGATCCCAGTGGCTGTCAATCTTTCTGGACAGGAGGAAAATGCACGAATGGCGAATGCTCATGGGTAGACGATTCATCCTTTAACTTCAAAAATTTCGGAGAAAGTAGGTGTTCTGTTGCTCAAATGAATCCCCTCCGCTTGTTTTTTCTTCATTATAAATGAAAAATTCGTTTAGAAGAGTCTGATTTGGCCGATGGGTGTATAGCATCGTCATTTGAGAAAGGTATGAATTTCAATTTTATTTTATTGAAGCTTTTGAGAATTTGCGACTCGCTCACCTCCAAAGTATCCGATGAGGAAAGAAAACTACTTTAATTGCAAATGTTACAGGTAATTGGAGTACGGAAAATTGCGATGAGGAAAAATGCTTCGTTTGCGAAACGCGTGTGGCTATGAGCGACTGTACTGACTGGCTCAATGCTGGCTATAAAGAGTTAGTTCAATCATGAAGAATGCCGAATTACTGCTCATACTTCTTCCAAAATCCAAGTGATCTCAATATTCAGTGACGGTATGTATAGCATCGTTGTCAACGGTAGGCCTCACAGAGTCTACTGCGACATGCATACTGCAGGAGGCGGATGGGTCGTGTTTCAGAGGTTTGAACAAATAATTTGTCTTCAAGGAATATATCAAAGGTGTCCTGGTGAAGAAAATTCAATAGCCAACCGGCTGTTAGATACTTTAAACCAGAACAATGTCAAAGGGCCGAGGACTCCTGAAACTGCCCTATAAACACGTTACTTTCTACTTGTAAAACAATTTCTTTACAAGAAGACCTCACTATCGACGTCGATCAAACTCCCTATTGCAGAAGAGTCGACGGAAATGATCCGTTCTGGAACCATAACTGGACAGAGTACAGAAATGGATTTGGAAACATAGGGCTGGTGAGTTGTAATGAACCAATATCCTACCGGGATCTCTCTTCGAAATGATCACTCCTTCTATCAGGACTCCAACTTCTGGTTAGGTAACGAGGCTCTTCATCAGCTCACTTACAAGGACTTGGATGTGACACTGAGAGTGGAAATGAGAGGCGACAGAACTCCGAACGCAAGAAATCCTAGTGGATACTGGTGGAATCACTACTCCAAATTCAAGGTTCGATACGTTCTCTTATTCAAACCAAATTGCTAGCAGTACCCGAGGTCCCCTCCTACCAGAATGAATCACGATGTAAGTTTCTGTTTGATATCCATTCAGCATGAAAAGTTCTTTAAAGATGACAATTCGCGCCTCCAACCTCAGGACATCCTATAGGTGAGGCATAGGCTAGGATCACACAGAATATCTGAGATCAGAGAATCGCCACCCATAGCGCGGAGTATGTGGGCAGTTCCAAGGGCAAACTCCTTAATTCAGTTTCGAATAGCCCACACACTAGGAATAAGTGGATAAAT